TTGTGATGCAGATTTTAGGCAAGCAAGTCTGAAATGTTACAAGGTATTTTAAAAATCAAAATAAATTAGTGCTGTCTCACAACTGTGTGGCAGCAATATGAAACAACTGTTTCACTTATTATATTTAAACAACATTTATGTCACCCCTAGGAATCTGCTTTAAAGGCCAAAGTCAACAGTCAGAAATTATGTGCATTAAACAAAGTGCTCTCTGAATTGTATTTTTCATAGAAACAGCAACATACACTACAAAAGGTACCTAGTAATCTTCCTGCCTTCAATCCATTCAGCAGCATAGCCCTTAGTAAAGGAAGGGGGAAATTAGGACCCTAAAGTGCTGGAACAAGCAACTAGGCACATACCAAAGCACAAATGTCTGAACTGGCTATCAGTATGACATCTAAATTTAAACGGTGAGGTCAGAGACTGCATGCAGTCCCCTCAGTAGTCACTTAATGCCTGGAAATTATCATAGATTTTTTTAAAGTCTCTCTTGTGCTGGATGAGAATGTTTAAGTAACATCATTATTTACTAGAGGCTGAACTTGTGTGTCGGCTTATAAAACCACCGCTGGCAGCAACAAGCTAGCTTCAAAATAGCTTTCAAATACAGAGCATGCTCAAAGTCAAATATCTGAAAAAATGTCCACCTGTTTGGGAAAATTATTGTGACTTAGCAAGGCACCAGATACCTAGCAGAGACAGGATAACAACTGGCTGGATACACCCTTGGAGCCCGTGGCTAATAGAAAGCAAAGCACCTGGGCCTCTTTTACTGGAATTTGAGCCCACAGGTGGATCAACAAAACCTGAAAGGTTCATCATTTCACTTGGTCAGGTAATCTGAGTCAAGGATTCCTGCCAGTATTCCCCTTGAATTGCACTTACTAGTTTTAAATTCATATCCCTGATTCAACCAATTCAAACAAGCAATGATGGAAAATTTWTAAGTACTTCACAGAATATTCAAGGTTGGAAGGGAGCYCTAGAGATCATCTAGTCCAGCCTTCCTGCTCAAGCAGGCACACCTAGAGCATGTGGCACAAGGTGGCATCCAGGTGGGGTTTGAAGACCTCCAGAGAAGGAGACTCCACAGCCTCCCTGGGCAGCCTGTGCCAGGGCTCTGTCACTCTCACAAGTTTTAGGCACCTTTTTTAGTACTATTATCATCAAAACACTCCCAAAACAGTAGCTCCTTTGCAACAGCAAAGTCACAATTTTCCAAACAAATACCATCAAATACCAAAAACTCATCCATAGAATCATCAGTCGTTTCCCTCTCCCAGGGAGACTCCATACAGGACTCCATACAGGAGCAGTATCACAGAACATTTAGCAATAGCCCTCTTTTAATGATAACAAAGAAAGAATTACTTCATCTAAATACAAGTCCATCAATGAATGAAAGTCCATTAATGACCTAGGTGAAGGGAGAGAGTGTCCCCTCAGCAAGTTTGCTGATGATGTGAAACTGGGAGYAGCAGCTGAACCCAGAGGGCTTYGCTGCCATCCAGAGGGACCTGGACAGACTGGACAACCGGGTGATCAGAAAAGTCATTAAGTTCAACAAGAGCAAGTGCAGGGTGTTGCAGCTGGGGAGGAATAACCTCAGACACCACTACAGGATTGACCTTCTGGAGAGCAGCTCTGCAGATGAAGACCTGGGTGTCATGGTGGATGACAAGCTGATCATGAGGGAGGAGGATGGGGCCAGTCTCTTTTCAGTGGTGGCCAGCACTAGAACTAGGGAAAATGGCCACAGACTGAAGCATTAAAACTTCCACAGGAACTTAAGGAAAAAATGCTTCACAGCCAAGGTGACAGAGCACTGGAACAGGTTGCCAAGAGAGAGTGTGGAGTCTCCTCTTTACCTCCCTCCTCACTTGATTCACAGAGCTGTATGTAGCAAGGCATGATAAACATCTTCCTTGTGCCTTGTTTTTACACAAATCAGGAGATCARCTCCTAGCATATCAACAGAGCTCTCCTTCTGTGTCCATAACACTCCATGGAAAGACTAGCAGTGTCTAAGTCAGAAAAGAGATTCTCATTTTAATCAGGGACAGGGAACTCACTGCACACAGATGATCCAGTGTGCAAGCTGCACAGCTCCTACAACCCATTTTTCACAAAAAACGCCCTGAGCAGCTTTACCAGTAAGCCTGCTGGTCACAGGAGCTATCAGGCTGCACCAGGAAAGGTGAACTGACCACACACTGACCATAACGGCAAAGCAGAGCCCCAGCTTGCAGTGCAGACGTAGTAGCTGTGTTATCACTTTCCCTTTTGCTTTTCCCTCTCTACCCTTCCCTGGAGATTCCTTCTCTCCTAAGGATTTCCCAGCACAAAAGCAAATGAAAGACACTTTCCAGGGTTTCGGACAAATCCAAAAGATGTTGTAATACACTCGTTTTTCTGGAGTCTTGCTGCTCTTTTGAGATAAAGTGATGAATTACTATGAATATATTGGGGTTATTCCTTAGAGGAATGGTAAAACACAGATAACAACTTCAAAAACAGGTAGCCAAGCACAAAGCTACTCCTCATGTAATAATGAGCAATTTATTTCAATATTGCAACTGTATTGGGAAGTTCCCAAAACAGGATTAAACCAAGTTCTGCTTGGCTCCGAGCCACCCTATTTTCACCTGTTCAGYAACTACAGAAATACACTCAGTGTTTTTCTTCGTAAGCACATTATCACTAGGGACAAAAGTCATTTTTCTTCTATGGCTTTGGAGCTAATATTTCTAGTCTAATATATTACACATTTAGCAAACTTGAAGCATGATAATTTTTAGCTGTGAGATACTAAACCAAGCCATTTGAATCAGCTGAAAATGGGTAGTACTAACCAAACTCTTACGTTATCTCTAATGCTAATAAAGTTATTTTTACTTCACAGCTGGTACAGGTATTCACACTTGGGAATGCAATCATACGAAGATGAAAACAATTATTTAACTGTTTGCAGACACTTGCACATCAACATCAAAGAAGTGACTTCTGTGAAAAATAAGATTGTATAAAATCAGATTTATCATTTTCTATGATTTGGACTGAAAATTTTACACCAAGACTTCATTTAGACAAGCTTATAACCAAACTAAAAAGCAATAGCTAATCAAAGGATAATTATACTTTGTTAGGAAGAATTTTTACAATCCTAGAGCAAAATGCAGCACCTTCAGAAATACTGAACTTTGGTCACTAAGCAAAGTCTATCAAAACRCGAAGAAACTAAAAGTGCAATGTACTGTCTTGATGCACATCACTTGTAGGCTGYCTTTACTGGGTGTGCTTATGCCTGTTCCTACACAGACATACCAGATGAGAGGATGAAGTTGAATGTTCTAGGGATAAAAATAAAATCATTTCTTTTCTGAAGCCTCTAGTCCTGTGGGAGGTATACAACATAGACATGACTGAAGTAGAGAGGATGAGTTTTTACAGCATTAGCATAAAGATAAATGTCCTATGGAATTAACCATTATCATTATTCATGATAAATTTATCATAGAAACTATGGTTAATTTATCAGCACTGAATCCAAGTCACATGACTGTTTGAGGAAAAATCTGGAACTTTAAGCTAGGTATCAATTTCTTCACATTCTGCCTAGCTTTATTCATCTTTTAGCTTCAGTGCTTGCTTGGGGAATGTCACCTTATGAAAATGCCACGTCAGGGATCCCCACAGGTGGGGATTTCGGGGAATACAATTCCCCTCTCCTAAGGGATTGATACAACTCCAGCAGCCAAGGTGCCTGACCTTGAACGTGAAACGGCTACCAGTACAGAGATGGCTGTCAGACTGTTAGAGCAATTAGGAATTGCTTTACATAAAATTACCAGAATGTTGACTCAGAAAGACAGCCTGTAACTAGTTTTGTGGGCAGCTTTATGCTAGGTGATAAAGGAGCATCACATTTTCTTTGGTTAAGATTGATATTAACTACAATATCAGAAATAGGAGTAAATGCATCACCTCTGTACGACAGCCCTGCTTTGCACTCCATCTTCAGAGCAAGAACTCTGTAGTGCATTGAGGTCTTGACTGTTCGGCTTTAGGGACTAAAGAGGGCATTCTTTTTTCTTCAACAAACAGACATTGCTAATGTTATCCTCATGGTTCAATACTGTGACTACAGTATTTTTTTCTCCAGGTTTTCTAGTTTTGCCTTCACACTATATTCAAGCTGTATCAAGAAAAAAACTTAGCCAATCCCTAGAATTGAATGAACTAGAATTTTAGTAACTAACCCCAGTCAGGTATTTTTTTCCATTCTTTATTGCATCTTTTTCTCCCTTAAATGACCTATAGTCTTAAGTTCTTTTGCTTACTCATGTTAAAAACTCTCACAAAAATCACACATCTATTATTCTGTAAGTATTCAGATCTTGTCTTTGGTATTATTTCTATCCATGATTAAATTGAGGTGACTAGATGACTCCTATTTTCTCCTTTTAGTGGTTTGATTTTTTGATTTTTTTTTTTTTTTACATAAATACAGACTCCAACAGCAAACAAAAACAAAAAAAAACCCATACAGGATCACAACATAAATTCTTTTTTGCCTGTCTTCCCACCCCTGAATCTTCTGATACATTACTTACCTGATTTGTTCTATAGGTTTTGAAACCTGTGGGGTAAGGATTAGCATCTATCATATTACAGTTAAGTAGTAAAAATTTTAAACAGATTAAAAGCATAAATTGTTACTGCAGCATGCTGCTTATTGTATTGTTAATTCTATTAGATTTTACTGGCAATAGCTGGCTTACTAGAGATATCTACAGACCATATTCTATTTCCACTATAACACAAAGAAAGTGTCTGTATTCCCTTCTGACTCCTCTTTCTGAAACCGAAAGAGTAAGATAATCTTGTCATATGGATGGATTCCTGTATTATTAGGCTTTACAAGAGCAGATATTATGGGATCCCAGAACAGTGTCATAAGCCCCATAGATAGCATATGAAAAAWTATATGGGCTTACCAAAAAATCTCTGATTAATTTCTGTAGTTCCTTGTGACCATGCTTTTCAGCAATGCCTGCTGGACTGTCTCCATCTTTGTTGATTATGCTGCAAGCCTGAGTGGCCTGAGGACACTTGAGCAGAAGAGCAGTAAGGTTTTTTAATCCAAGTTTTGCTGCACAATGAAAGAGAGTGGGAAGTTCTTCCAAATCTGTATTTGGAAAAAAATGTTTTCGTAAAGAAAAAAATTTTTTGTTATTTTGTCAGAGTCACTAAATCTCATAAAAACATTGCCCAATTTTTCCCATTCAGCCCTTACAACCCTAACTACTTGATATCATTATTATACATTTTCTCCAACTACCTGTCTGTTTTATAGTCAATTATTCATCCATGTACAATCCATTAACTACTTAATCAGCTTTCCATTGCCTTACATATAATTCCAAGAACTTCATAAAGCTAGACCTTTTTTTACTTRCTAAAGGAAATTTATTCAAGTTTCTGCTCACTTGTCTGGTAGACATGACACATTAACCTTCTGCGGTTCTCCAGCTCCCAAAAGAAACTGTTTATTGGCATCTTATTTGAACCTTCCAGGGCTATGTAACAGCATACCCTGCACAGCATACCCTGTTAGCAACCCAGCTATTTTATTCTTAAATTTCTTCAGAACTCTTTAGTGAAGTCCACTTAGTCCTGGCGATATCTTAGTGGTCATTATGTCCATTTCTGCTGTAACTTCCAGATCATTTTATCTCCAGGCAATCCCTTGCCACATATTTCCCCACCAGGCCTACACATGGGAATTTACATTTTCTTCTAGAGCAACCACTAACAGAAAACATTTTTCCAGTTTTCCCTGAGCAAACACTGATGCAAAGAATTGATTCAGTTTCTCTGCATTCAAACTTTCCATGTTCCTGAGTTCTAGTTTATATCCCAGTCATGCTCCTGTAGAATATTAATATGAAAGAAGAGTAAAACCTCACCCCAACTATTAGATAGAAGGAAGGAACAAGGATAATYCTTGCAATAGGCATAACTAGTTAAGTATTGATTAAGTTGTTAGGATAATGAGTTTTAGTTTATATTACTTGTATTTGCTACATGTTTTACAATCCTTTGAACTCTCCTAAGTTACAGAATTACAATGAACAATCTTAAAACAGCAAGAGCCACTAAGATTCTTGAGAAGTAGATGCTGCATAAATGATTTACTCCATATTGCTCAACTTGTTAATTAAAAATTTCCACTGAGTGGACTTTGTTCCATAATTAGAAGAACTACAAATGTGGATGTGCCAGAGCACACATTAGAATTCTCCCTTTTTTTCCCCTCCGTTTTGCTAAACGCAAGAAAAAAAGAAAAAACAAACAAACCTCCCACAACCCTATGGAAATATATACCAGCTTAAGGAGCACTCACATTAGCAGTAAAAGAACCTGCAAGTAATTGGGAGATAGAATTTCTTCTACCTTTTGCATTTCTTTTTTAAACATCCAGCAATGAGATAGGCATTGAGAAGTAATTTTAAAGAAGAGCAAATATCATACAGTTAACCAAAGGCTGGCATGCTGCTAACAGTCTCAAAGGTCAATGCTGTTGGTAAAAATAGCCTTAAGGAAGTATTTAAGGAAGGTGTACCTTCCACTCCTTGCTAATGAAACCTCAAGTAATTGGCTATACACGCAAAAAGGCAAAAATATTCCGTTATATGGATTCAGACACACCATACACCCACTTCTTCAAAGGAGAAAAAAAATCAATCAATTCACAAACCTGCTCTAGAATCATATCTGCGTTTTCAAAATGACACAACAGGGGTATCCTCCTACCAAATCTATTAAGCAAAATCCTTATAATACACATCTGTATTCAAGAACAACCATTGCAATCAAAATATCCCTTCAGATCCTTCCCACTTGAGCTGCTTTTTTTCTGATAACGACTCAACTCCTCCACAGCAAGGCTCTATTTTCAAAGACGAGAGCTACTCTCTTCCATCTTGAGAACATTACTGGAGACCCCATCAGATTTCAAAACCAAGTTAATTTTCAAACAAACATAAATGCTGCATGGCTATTATATCTCTGAACAACAAAAAAAAAGTTGCAGAGATGGCACTGTTTTCCTGGAAGACAGTGTTAAAACTAAAGACTGAATTCAATTACTAAAGTGTCARTTCTGAAATACCAATCTGGCTTGAGACATAAATCTACAGACACAATTAATAAATCCATCTTTTCTTTTTATGGCATTCACTTCAAAAAACATAATAAAAGGAAAATTCCTGTTTAAAGAGTGATTCAAACTACTTTCTTTCACAGCATGAATATCCATATCACCCTCAGAAAAGGTGCAACACTAAGAGTGCCATCTAAATCAGTTGTGCATTACAGCATATCCATTCACAGTTTTTATTGAGCAGTTTCAATACAGCCACACAAGTTGCATAAATTTATTAAATTATTCTATGCCAGAGAAATTAAATTATTCTATGTGCCTAAGAAGCTCTTCATGAGCCAAATCTACCAAGTTTTGGAAACAGAAGCTATGAAACTATTCTTAGGTACCTCAGACTACCCTGACATGGCCACTTTTTCAATTGCTGTTCCCTTCAGCAGCACTTCATTGCCCCTTTCTATCTTCAGCTGTGAAGCTGAAGCTTCAGTAGTTCTATTCTGCCCTGTACAAGCTTTGTCAACCATCCAGGAGACATAAAAATGTTGTTAGACCTGGCCTCCTAAGTTCTTTCTGTAAAGACATAATTATTTCACCAATACAGTAAGACTAATGACTTTGTATTGAATGACAGAAGCCCGATGGCCTTTTTGCCCTCACTTTCAGAAAAGACATAAGTACTTCCTTAAATCCCTGTCAAGTCATAAAGCAAGAGTGAAGAACTCATCTCTTTCCTGCAGATTCTGCAGCAAGTCAATGGCAGCTAAGAAGACTTTTTTTTTGATTATAATTGTTCACCTAACTGCCAATTCACAAAATTCAGCAAGATCTTAGCACAAATTAGATGTTTTACTGTAAAGATTTTATGATGCAGTGTTTAACGACTTTAACTGAAGCTTTGTATTTTATACACAAGCAAGACGCCATAATTATTTGAAAGCACACATGCTTTAGGCAGAAAATAACCATCTATGAACTAGCAACTATGCCACACTGAATTGTGGAAATTTACTGGAATCTTTATCAGCTGTGAAGCATGAATAACCAATAAAGTTAATATACACAACTGAACAAAAGTTGCAGTTTTGGAAGTAACTCAAAGTGGGAAAAAAACCTTTTAATCAGTGTCAGTTCTTCGGTGAATAAGGTTAAAAGGCCAACAGATAAAAGCTGCTGCTGTTAGACAAGTGCACAGAGAACTACATAGCTGAGGATCCTAAGTGGGAAGGAAAAGGTAAAAAGTGACTAAATGGTTAGCTGAAGTGCATTAAAGTGGCATCTTCAGCTTTCAAGCAGACTTYGAACCCAGAACTTGCTCTAAATTACAAGCTTGAGTTGACATATGCAAAGTTAAGAAGGAGCTGCTGTTTCATGTGTTTTGGTCTACCATAATCTCTTCTCTCCTCTCTTCTGTTTTATGTAGAGTATTCTGGAAGAACTTGGCTATAAAAGGAAGCATAAAATCTAATATTACTGTGCTGGGGTGCTGCCTTAGCCTGCAGAAATGTTCATAAAAATTTTAGTAAGCAAACAGAGCAGCCTATATTCTGATATTTCTGCAGGTTTTGTWAGATACACTTTTATTTCCAAAGTAATTGATAGAAGACATGACTTCCTCTGTAATTTAAAAGGCAATTAAAATCAGYTCTACATTGTCAATACCAATTAAACAAAATGAGAATGGATCTTTTCTCCATCTGTCTTCTCCCTATCATCTTTTAAGTAGCAGGTGAGGATTATGCCTCTATATTTGTGTTCACAGTGGCTTTGTCTTTTTCAAAAGTTCTGTATAGTAACACAAGAATTAACAGGATTTCCTCAAACAAATATCTTCTCTCATATAGAAATCAACATAAAGCCAAGAATTCCAAGGGCCAAAAACTCAGGAGCTGAATCAGAGCTTTTTAAGCTGGTCAAAAGCCCAGCTAAATATACTTTTGAAATACCAAGGTTCAGCTTCATTACAATTTTTTGACTAGTGTCTACCAGAWGTAATATACATACAGTGAAAGCAGCTGAATACAGAATGTACAGAATTCAGGTTAGTATCTCCTGTTTCAGTTACTTGGTTCTTCATCCTTGTAGAAGAATGTATCTTATTGTTCTTACTACCACCACTAAAAATCCCAGATATGCCTTGGCTCTCTTTCAGTGAGTGCTATATAATTAAACACCATGTTTTTTTCAGTGGCTTCTGTTCAATCTGCTTTTAGCACTCTCAAGTGATTGGGCTTCCCGTATTCCCCTTCAGAGACTGCAGAATAAGCTTTTTAAATATCACTCATTATTAAAACATTTTTCCCCCTGATAAGCAGAATAAAAGTCTATCTTAATGCCTCTATGCTACTGTTCGGTAATATCCATGAATAACCATAAGTGACAACGTTCAAATACCTAGATCTTCTTTAGGTGTTCTTCAAACACATAAAAAGTAATTAAAACACAGAAGGCACAGTTCAAGCTTGAATTGTGTACTTCATTACTAACAAGCTTTATAAATGCAGCTATTTTGGCAATACTTCACTGATAGAAACTCATGATTCACTGCTCAGTTACTGCAATAACTATTACTATAGATTGCTGCAGCAAAAGYAAAACACAAGCGGATCTTATGTGCAGCAAGATACACTCACATGTGCTTGTCATCAAAAAACACAGTTTGTAAAAATCARTGTGAAATTTTTGTTATGTCCAGTGCTCTGTCAATTTTATCATAGCAATACTGTCAAAGTTAAAAGAGATCAAACAAGAACTACAGATAAACAGTATCACTATTGCCTCCATCTAGGCACAGATGTTTCTTCCTTCAAGTAGATCAGTAAGTGAAGGAAGATTATACACATGTTAAAGATGCTCACAGGACTATAGCCCTAGAGCCAAGCAAGAAACTTCAGAAAGCTTGATCTGTTGCACACACAATTCTCATTGCATAGTTGGTCAGAAACTTAAGTTTCCAAAATACATACTTGTGATCCACTGCTTCTTTTGCCAAAAAATCACATTAAACTATTGTGTCTGGTGTTATAGATAGGTACAATTGTTCTGCTAAAGAGATTATAGTCACATAATAAATTTTTTGATGTCACGTATATACTTCAGTTTTCATCACCTAAAATAATGATGTTGTGTTTCCTGTGGGGATTCTTAGTAGCAAGTAAAGACATAGTTAAAAGTTAAGGCAATCAGAAACTGCATACTGAAGAGTAAACTAAAAGCCGTATGTAAAAGAATTATTCCAAAATGTTTGTAACASATGCACTAAAAGTTAAACAATATCTGAGTTGGTATTTTTCTGTGCATCTTAGCTTTGCCAGCCTACACATCAGCCTCTCACAAGTACCCGCACCTGGTGATTCCCTGGTATAAGCCACCATCAGTATAGTCAGAGCATCACAAAAAGATGTATTTGCATTTTTCCTATTAGTTCTTATATCAGTTTTTGCARTCTTAATTTTATAATCAATCACGTACTTCATATTATAAAGTCAAATCATGCAATATTTAAAATAACCACTAAAATTAATGAGTTCTTCATTATTTGTTCATTTTTACTTCCTATTTAGAAGTCAAAATACAGCAATTTATCAGCTGCATCCTGATGTACCTGCCATAACGTTAAAATCAATCTGCAGGATTGCCATCTTAGTTACGCAAATGACTACAGCACTGAAACAATTTCAGAATGATGTATTTAAAAATCTTTCAAGCTAAAAGATAAAACAGATTTAAGTGATTCCATCTATCTTCTCTGGGAATAAGCTACAGGTATCACATACAGGCTGGAAAAGCCCCAAGATTATTTGCMGTTCATTGAGTGCTCAACGCATGAAAGGCTCCAGCTTTTGAAGAAAAAAATTACATATTTCAAAGCTTTATGAAGTAACTGCTTGATCGTAAGTCTCACTAGGAGTTCTCTGTAGAGACTTCTAGGGGCTTTTAACTCTTTAGAAGTAAAATTTGGAAATCCACAAGAATCTCAGAATATCACATCTGGGTAATCACTGAAAAATCAAACTACTGATATCAGTATTMATTTACAGAGTATATCAACATGCCTCTATTTCAACCAAGCACCTTAAAATGCAGAGTGCCACTATGCCCCTTGGAAATCAATAATGGGAATTCTGGCATAAGCCTATCTAAACCACTAGGGATAAAGCAGCAAGTATAAGAATAATGAAAATAGGGCTGATTCATCTGCCATTTAAAAGATATAAAAACAGTTCATCTCATTGATGGATAGCTTTTTCTCTCATAKCTTCTCTCAGAGCCACTTCTCTCATAGTTTTACCCCTCAAACTATTTAATTGGTTTWGATTTTTCAGTACTTTCTCTTGGATAAATGAATGCTTAAAAAATAAATATTTTTTAAAAATGTAATAAACCTCATATTCTAGTGCCAGTTTGGGATGCTTTTACAGGGTGCCAAAGACATGGGTTTACCTACCCTTCAGGCAGGGGGTGGATAAGAACCTGGRCATCCCACAATCACATCCCCACATTTCCATCTCTGCATCCACATCCTGAAGATTTGAAACWTTTATCTTCATATTTTTTGCTACATTGCAGGCTACATTGAAATAGTTCACTTTGGGAAGGTTAAAACCACTTAACTGTAGCTCATGAACAGCCTACTAGTTCAAGCTGCATGGCCCTTTCYGGCAGGATTGGGGATAGGGTGAGTGTTATTTGAATAACTATTTGAATAACGTGAACAGATGAAAGTAATTATTAGAAGAGTGAAAAAATCTTTTGTTCGTAAAAACAAACATTATATTAGGAATGATGCTTTACCATTTTATACACCCCTATCTGTCAGTCTTGTGCAATAACCTGTCAGGGACTAGTATCTCTCTTAACATTCTACTGGTTTGTTTTAACCAACATTCACAGGTAACTTCATTCCCAGACTTGATGAGAATTGATATATATATGTCTAGCATAACACAGTGAAGTTCATCAGAGAACGATTATCCAAAATGAAAGTAGGCATGATTGTGATTAAGAAGGAGATAATTAAGAGAAAGTAATGACTAAATTTTCTCTCTATTTGTGTACATGCACTGTGATTTTAAGAGTAAATAAGTTCTATTCAAGTCTAATGTAACCCTTATTTGTCATTACCTTCAAAAATTGCTATATTTAGTTATTTCTAAAAGAAAGCATTCATTTTTGGCCTTTTTTTCTGAACAAGTCTCATGGAAATACACATCCAAAGTAACATCATAATGATGTTTTTAATGCATATACTAAATCACATTTTCAATTTGTTGCAATAATTTGCATCCTTAATAAACAATTGACTGAATTCAATCAGGACTCTGTATTTGCCTTTAGGCAGTAGCTTCAGCTTATAACCTAGTGAATTGTGCATTTGGTGTATCTATTTCCACTTTACAGCCAAATCCTGATTTAACTTACACACAAATCCTGTTTTAACTCACTGTGACTTCAATACAATTACCTCTTGGTCAGAATACAGTAATGGAAACTATCAAGCTCATAGCGACTAAATTGAACTAAGATGCTTAACGCTGTTCCAAGTTCAAAAGCCATCCATTCCCTTCAAATATGGAAGTCTTTTGCTTTTGTGAAACAGAAAAATGAACTGTAAACTGTATTGCTAACAAGTAATTAGTAAAAAAATATAGTTTACAGGCTTCTCTACCTTAATCATGTCCTATTACCCAATTTCTCCATAAACATAAACTTGGACAGGTGCAAAGCTGTCAATTTGCAATTAATCTACAACTAGCCCAACACTGAACTAAGTATAAACACTTAGCGGTAACTCATGAAGGACTTCTATTTTTTCCTCATCATGTTCTCTTCACTGTGGATTTCCACATTTCACTAAGGGCTTCCATTCAAATATTTTAAGTTTGTTGTATTAATCSATGTATATGAGAAAGCACTCACTGGCTAGTTGATGGCACTCTTCACTTTGGCATGTGCTGAATTCATAAGCAGACATCTTGATTTTCAGTAGCAAAGTCAAAATATTGTCCAGCTTTTCTACGGAAGAGAATTCAAAAGCCTGTTGCAAGAGAGAGAGAAGGTACATTTGGTATGTATGTATTTAAGTTCATTTTTAAGTACTTTCTCCTTACATGCAAGTTCTTCTTCCCAGGAGTCTGATTTCCAAGCAGCTCCCCGCAAGCCCCCTAAAGTACAGAAAGCCATAGCCAGCTCCCCACTCCTCACTTCAGTCCTAGCACTTCTGTAAGAGATAACATGTGCCTCAAGTCTATCATCCAGAAGCTTGTGCCKCCTCAGGGCCTCCCCAGGTGACAGCAATCTCTTCATCTACCCCCTGCAGCCTTCCAGAGTGATAGGAAGCAGCTGTGAGCCACAGAGGAGATCTCTGAGTGATACCCAACAAAGCAGGGCTTCTGAAACATGTTCCTTTAAAAAAGGAAAAGACCAAGCACATGTTTGGATGTTTCTATGAATCATGATGCATATTCTTTAATAACTACTAACAAAACCCTGAAGATGTATGCCAGTGAAACATGGCACATGCAGCCATGAAAGCAGCATATGCTTTCATGTTGACCAAAAGATGAACTACTCCAGTAGTTCTTACATATGAGACATCTAAATACCTAGATTATCTCTGATAAAGAGAAAAGGGCRAGACTTAAAAAGATCACAATTTTACCCACTGATAAAATATGTAAAAATTTCATGTTTAGATAAAAAAGAAACATTTTCAAATAATAGTTGCTGACATGACTTAGAAAGTTCAAAGCTATTAAAAGTAGTTTTACAGGAAATATCTTAGATGATCAAGTTAAGGCATATACCTACTATCACTACATCGAAAATTRGCAAGAAATAGCTATGTCCTTTGTAAAGACTACAGTTTATTTTCATTCTTTTTATAATATATACTCTAATTGGAATCTTGTTTCATAACAATCATAAAAGCATTCCCCCATGGATCAAATCTCTCAGTTATAGCAGTATTATTCACCAAGTCTATCATAAAGATTTTTAAAGTTCATTAACTCACTTAAATTAACATGAAATCTCAATTTCAATAATCAAGATATGACCTTGTTGCCATCATTTTTTTTTTCCAAAAAACTAAGAAAACTGCACCCAGAAAACCTCAGCAGTAAATATTTGAATCAATACTTGCATTTGGTAGAAGTTAGAAAAATCAATACAGCATATAAATCCTCCAAAATCCTGGAATAAAAAGTTAATGAAAAGTAAAAAATGAAATACRAAAAAGTTTACCAAATGCAAGAATTTTATGATCAGATTTGTACACAGGGTTACTATATAAGCACACAAAATCCCTAACACAGTTTCTTTAATAGAAAATTATATGGAAATGGGAGAACAAAAAAATGGCCATTAACTTATGCCCTTTTTTAAATATGTTCTAATAGCAAGTTTATGTAGCATAATGATTTAGTTACTATTTCAACACTAATTTAATATAAAAAAATCCTTAAAATTTAAGATTTTACCTCCATAAAATTACAATAAATATTGTTTCTATTATTATTTRTTGTTGTTAGAAAGGTCTTGCTTATGTTGGACAATATTCTTCTAAGTTCAGACAAGCATGGCAAATAGAAATAGTGTCACATGCGGCAAAGAATTTAATCCAAAAACATGATTTGTAGTAACCTTCAAGGTAAAATAGGTCTAATCCCACAATTTAGCTGGCATTAATCTTCGGTTCCTGTCCAAAAATATCAATGAAGAGGTACAACAATAGTGTACTCTGTCAGTCCCCTTTAACCTGACTTTTGGTCAAAGGAACAGACAGCTGTAAGTTTAGTCACTGGGGTTATTTTGTTTCTTGAGTTTACTTGCTGGGTAGGAAGAAGAGAAAACAACATCAATGTCCATGTTGATATCAGCTTAAAGTATCTGAAAAGGAACCTGCAATATACCGCATAACACTGTAAAGGTCTTTCAGCTTTAATAACAAGATACTCCTCAGATTGCAAACATGCATGAAAATTTTCAACTTTTCTTTGAATCACACAATATTACTGCTTTGGTCAAAATTGCTGTAAGTTTTTCTACTTTATTTTTACTTGGTTTTCTATTGTGCTTGCATAAACCACTGCTGCCCCAGGATACTTCTGCAAGCAAGCTGATAGTCTCAAAGGTTTTAATTATGCCAGTTAAATAAAAGTTACCACTACTCCTGCTACTTCATGGTAACTCTAATTAGAGGAAGGCTCTTTTTTTCCTTGCATGAGTACATTTTTTAAGATTTAAGTCAAATCATGTTTTGTAAATTTTATCTTTACGATRCATCTTATTGCCAGTAAATCATATTTATGAGAATATATGAAATATTTCAAGAGTTTGAAGAAATATATCAGCTCTACCTAGTGCATCTGCTTTACTCCATGGCCCAGTGGATACAATTAAATGCAATGACAAATCTTCCAGCACATATACAAATATGTAAACAAATTACTACTAATATACTCTCCCACAGAAAAGCCCTATGCTGGCTGGACTGCATCATTTATTTGATAATAAAAATCTTCTTGGTGTTAATTTTTAAGATGTCAACACAAGTGAAATTAAGAGCCAGGCATAGACTGTCTCTTCATTTAAACATCTGCTTTTAATACAGATGAGAAAAGAAGTCCAGATTACTAAGCACAAGTGACAGTCATAACATTGCAGTTGTATTCCCTGGTGTGCACTACTGCTCTGCATAAAATTATTTCTAAATCTGAATATAATTGGAATTGCATGCATCTTACTAAATATTAGCCATGCTGGTTAAATGGAGGGTCAAACTCCTGAAAAACACTAAGAAGTCTTCAGTGYATCTCAGACATGCTGTAGATATCTAGGTTACCATGTTAATTATTTTTAAATCATTACAACATACTTCTTMAGCATAAAATTTTAAACCTTACCTATGGAAACCTCTGTTTCAATGTCGTTTAATCTACACTTTAAAGAAGTGTAGACAGCTGTTACAGAGACCTTAAGAGTGCACTTGTATTTAGTGGTACACTATTTTTATTGTGTAACAAGCCTGCTTTCTTAGAACAAAAGTCAAATGTAGTTGGAAGGAATCTACCCCCATTCTTAACAACAATACTAATAATAC